AAGAGCGTCTCATGATCTTCCGAATACTCTACTGTTTAAGTCCTCAGATGATCCAATGTTCTCATTCTGTTCCTATTCTTTCACTCATCCCTGTAGGCTTTTTAAAATGTGAAGTCATTGTTCTCAGGGTGAGACTACATATTTCTACTAGCAGCTGTTCAAGATGATGGACAATGATGGTTATTCCCAGATTAACATGTTCTGCACAAACACTCCAGACAATATGAAACTTAGGTCATTATTCTTCCATTAAAACATCATTATATTTACTGTCTATAAAGTATGGGACAAATCAGAAGCATGTGGAGCTGTAGTTGCATGTGAGCACTGAAGTTTCCAAACCTGCAAGAGTTCAGGCTTTTTAACCCCCTCCATTCTTTCCCTTCCAGAAAGGATATTTGTTAAGGATGCTAAACCACAAGCAGCATGGAATTAAAGACCATTTGCATACATAGGGCCTTTGCCTTTATAGGTCACACAGAGAGCACACAACAGGAATGATCAGGGCTTCTCTAAGTGAGTGGGAGTCGCTTGAGAAGGAGCCTCATGAACTGACACAAAACAATGAAAGACATTTAGCCAGAGATAAAAAACTCATAATTCTTCCTGTCTTCACTTCATTAAGTCATTACTGTTCATTCAAGCCTTTTCATTTTAGGCTGCCTATGACTTTTATTCAGATAGGCCCATCTCTAAAACAATTCTTCAAGGGTTACCCAAATCAGGGGTCAGCTGCACAGGAGTATGGGAGGCAGCTCTTCCCTTCTGCAAGCGTTCCTCAGCATGCCAAAGGCATGATGGCCCACTGATCCAGATTCTATAAAAAGCTACTTCCGAGATAGGAAAGTTGCTTAGATTTCAAGAAGATCCTCTGGCACGTCTTCCCCTTTATGCATTTGCTCCGTTTTTAGTGCTCACACGTTAAAATGAACCGAGGTCCTGGCTCTGAAGGCAGGTCAACTTATTTAAAATGTTAACTTCTAAAAGAAAAATACATCTGAAAGAAGGAAATAACTTTCCCTTTAGTGCACAGGCACACATGTCCATGTCTGATGTGATTTACACTCACTAAAGACACGTACAAAGCAGGCACTGGTTGGGGAGAAGGCTGACCCCATGCTGAGAAGGAGGCATTCTTACCAGCCAGTCATGTTGAAGTCACGGTAGAGCATCCTCTTTCCAACTTCCTTGCGCTGCACCCTCCGTGGAAACTCTAAATGTGTGAACTCATTTCCCAGCAAGTGGGGCTGCATGTAAGCCTGTGGGCAGAAACCAAGCCACAGATACCACACAAACATCATAAAACAAGACATAGTCTATTTTTAATGAGGCAGCATTACCATCCCTTCCCGCTCCCTTCCCACACACATTTTTTCCCCCTCCTCTTTAAACAAGGAAGATGATGAGCTCCATTTCAGCAAACGATGTGCACATACACCAGTTCTGACACTGACTGGTGTCTGGCAGCAGCCTTACAGGGAGCAGTCCTCTTGCCCTCAAAATCCTTCATGTCCTCTCTCTGCTCCTCAACATTTAGGATCTGTAAAGTCAGCCTCATCCATTGACCCACAAGGAGTCTGCAGGGCTTCGTAAAACAGAACACATCTCCTTTTCTAAGTCAGCAACCTGAGAGAAGGGAATGATCAAAGGACAAAGCCATAGAGCAAACAGAGACTTGGAGGGGTGCGTGTGGAGTAAAGCTGAAGTTTTGACTCCCAGTTCAGCTATGCCAACAATGCACACAATCTAATATTATTATCACACTTTGTGACTACCTGGAGAAAAATGTTCCCTTCTACCTGCTCAGTGTGCTGCACCCCACCGTGCAAGACACTGCAAATAAACATGAGCTGCAGAGTACTATTTTCCTGTTTTCTACAAACTACTTCCTTTGTACAGAATAGACCTTAAGAAAAGCAGCAGCAGTTTTGTGTCACAACTGCAACTCATGTTTTTGATGGTGTTAACGTCTGACTGCTCCTGCCGCCGCCGCTGTCCTGTCTGGTGTGATGCTCTGCAGATGCTGGGATGTCTCTGCTAGAGCCATGCCCAGGGCTCATGTGCTCCAGAGCTGTCTGTACTCGAGAGCATCGTGAGGGTCTGTCGGCCACAGAGATTTTTGGTTTGTATTTATACACAGATCACCTGACACAATAGGTTAATCCTTAAACTTCACTCATTTTCCTTTAATATTTGCACAAACGAGTTTTTCCCCTTCCCTTCCCCAAGCTGCATTGTGAGCAAGCTCTTCTGAAGACACAGTCAAATTGGCTAGGGAACTGAAAAAAGTTGCATTTCTTAACCTTTCTGCAGATAACTCTTTTTTCTTATCCAACCAGTTAAGGCAATAAAGCCTGTCTTATCTCCAGCAGCAGCTGCCGTCAGGGCAGACCAAATGAGCTGGCTTTAGTTTGTGGGTTTGTCATAAATCTAGCGCTCATCAAAGGTGAGCGGCAGGAAGCCGTGGAAGCCCTTATTGATCTATCTGGCAGCTATCTTGCAGATAGTTCACAATAAAATATTTCCTGCATTTAAGGGCCGAGCCTGCTCCCAGTCAATTTAACAAGAGTTGGATCAGGCTCAGCACATCACAGTGCTAACCCTGCATCTGCTTGTCCCTGTTCCCGTCGCCAGACATCCTTGCAGAAAACACCTCGAGCTCAGCTGAAACGGGGCTGAGGGAGATTGCTGTGTGTAGCTCACAAGATTAGATTCTGCTTTTAAGAGGTGGCTTTCAAGCACGCAGATGTGATCTTGACACTGTGATCCCTTCCAGGAACAGGAGCTCCATCAAATTCTCTCCCGGTGTACAGTTAGGGGAATTACATTTTTTCCTGCAGCCTACAGTCAGGCAAGGTCCCCTCCCCCACCCAAATACTGTTTTCAAGGACCCTCTAAATTGGATCACTGTTCCTCATTACAGAACTGGTTGAGAAGCACTGGTGACTTTTGAGAGGTCTAGCAGTATTAGTCCAGATGAGGCTTCCCATACTTCCAGAACTCTGGATTCTTTATTTAAAAACACGTCCAAACTTTCTATTTTAATTTATTTTCATTCCAGTCGCAAAAAAGATAGAACATCCCTAATGATTTATTTTATGTATTGCACATTGTCAGCAGAGAGCTGGACTTTTTTTGGCATTTTTTAATTCTTTCTAGTCTATGATACTATAAACAATGAAGTCAGTCTGTTCTGAAAGTGCAATTCAGTTCACTTTTAAAAATGCACAGCTATCTTGATTAAATCATTACAAACCACTTCTAGCTAAAGACTACTGTTGCCTGCCTACACAACAAGGAACCTTATTTAAAAGCAAAAAACTCATACTTGACATCAAAATGAAGTTATTTAACCTTCAGATTGTGAGATTACTTATTAGGCTGGATCACAGGTCCAGAAGAAAAAAGTTACAGGCTTTTAGCATTTTTCCCCTTGAAAACAAGGATTTCCTTTATTGAAAAGGTAAAGAGATTGGGAGAGACTACATTTTATAAAGATTTACTCAGATGGAAAGTCTGAGGTCACAAGTGAAATAAGATTAATAAAGCTGGCAGAGTTACCAGTGGACTGCTAATGTTCAAATAAGATTTCTCTTCTGCAGCCAAGCCTCAATGCTTGATTTACAACCCAAGGATCTTAACTTGATTCTAATATTTTTGGCGTCAGTGGAACAGAGGGAAAAGAGCAACTTGGAAGCTTCTGGTGCCTGTGAGCTGAATTCTTACGTGAAGAGATGGGGATTTTTGTTGGGTTTTTTGTGTTGGTTTTTTTTTTTAATTTTCTGTATTTTTTACTCGTCTTTTTAACAGTTATTTTTGATGCTTCACTGGTAATTCTACAGAAAGAAGAATGTTCCACTATAAAACTCAGCTGTGACTTCTACTTGGGTTTGTTGAGAACTGTTCTCCTTTTACTATGAGGCAGGGCTCTTCCTCTCCACCCCAATCAAACTGTGCTGGGCAGCAGAACCAGAAAGTAAGTAAAAAGCAACACTTTAAAAATCTACAGATCTTTCAAGTAGATATACAAGCAGACACCATGAAATCCCCTCAAGTAGTCAAATGCGAAACAAAAACGGTAAGTGAACTGACTACCAGAATTTCATCTGCGATGAGGCACCACTGTACTTTCCATTTTTTAATTTGTTCTCAGAAACACCATTCAGAGAACTTAAAATTTAATAAAAAGAGTGACTATCAAGCACTTTCTATATCCTTACAAGGTATGTTCAGACAACATTGTTATTCTGTGTTATGGAACTGGAATATTTTCCATCATTTTTCTTTCAGAAGCTATTACAGCTTTTTTGGCATAAATCTGGCATAGTCTGTCTAGTGTTTTTGGTACTCTGCCATTTTATGGTGTATTTTGTGGCTGGATGTATTACATTTAACATTAGTTGTTTAAAATGGAGTCTGCTCAAGGAAATACTAGTCACGTTTCTTTCAAAAGGCCATTTACTTCCTGCTGTGTTTCCTGGTGATCAGCAAAGCAAACACGAAATTAAGATAAACCTAGACTTACACACTAGTGTGTCAGTTAATTAGGTGGCAGGGAACACTGCATGTATCTTATCTCACCTTAATAAGGGCAGCTGATGCTTTTTCCAGCTCCTACAGTACACACTGCTCTGGGGCACCACCGGCACTAGTGGTTTCACTGTAGTCTGTGTTTTCTCAGAATTGCTGTTTTCCCCTACATCAACTATATCTTACAACTTTATCCTCTTATCACATTACGCCATTTTCTCCAGTAGGATATGCTACTACATGGGACTACCACTCACAACAGCATGCACAGCATAATGCATCCAAAAGTTTTGCAAATTATTCAGCCATTACTATATGGACATGTTTAAGCCAAACAAAGATTAGAACTAAACAAGGTGGTGGTACAAGCAAAGCAGTAAGTGGGAGCCAAATCCATCTCTGGATTGGTCTCTCCTCTTATGAAAGGCCAGGACCCTTTCTACAAAACCACACATCTTTTACCACAGCATCATGCAATGTGTCAGATGGCCAAAGGAATCCTATGCTGGGTGATGCAGGGAGCCATAAACTGTAAGACAACTAAGATGCATCTGACTTGTAATTGAAGCACTGAACTGACATTTAGGAGACCTAGGTTCATTTCCTCTTCAGGCTTGGGTTCCTCAAGCGTCCTTCAGCAGATGAGTTAGTATCACTTAATCCTCACCTGAACAATGAAACAAGGCATGGGTCATCTTTGAACCCATGTTCCTGTGCCTGTCTGGGCTCAGGAACCTTTGTTTGAATGGTGCCAAACACAACACATCCACAGCGCTCTGCCACTGATAGCCACCCAGTCCCCACTGGTAGTAACGCCTGCCCTGGCAGCAGCAGTGGACATCTCTGGTCTGAGCTGTGAACTTCTGAGGCACCGCCCGGCTACAGCATGGACACGGTATGCAGTAACACCACGCTGACCTCACATGACATCTTCAAGGTGCAACTTTGATAACTAATAGAAATACACCCATCTGCAATGCACTCATTCATCATCCATTTCAAACACGTTTTCCAACGGAATAAGTAACAAAATTTATGCCTTTTACTGTTGCAATTCAGACTATCATGGCTGAAATTAGTAAGTCTCCTCAGAAGATAAAAGGAAAGTTGCCTCTGGTAGCTGCTGCCTGCACAACTGCTGAATGTACCAGAGCACTTCCCAGTCAATACTGGGTTTTGTTTCCCTCAAGATACACCGCTATGGGAAGCCAGGGCTTTCCCGGAGCAGGCGCTGCGTGAACTCTCCTGCCACAGCGCTGAAAGGAAAGTACAGACACAAAAATGCAAAAGAAAAGGAGGAAGGGAAGCAGCATGGTGCACTGAACCTCTACAGAAGCTGAAGGACCAAGAGAGTACTGGTGCAAGGCTTTCATGCCTGACATCTTAAGAAGTGCTCTCTGACTGAAGGACTGATTGCCTTCCGCAATACTCTCACAAGTCCCCTGACACAGAAGTCTGCCTTCGCCGTACGGCCTGTCTGAAATCTGCAGCTGCACGCTGTCCTTCCGCTGCAAAAACAGGGGGGTGCAGGTGGAGACGGAGGGATGGCCATGCCCAGAGCTGCTCAAAGGTCAGAATGACTGGATACTCAACATGTTCCTTCAAAGTTGCAGTGCCAGAGGCCTATGCCCAAGGCCATTCTTGAATACATGGCAATAAACCTGCATTAAATTGGGAGCTGGATAGGGAAAACATTTGTTTCCTCCCCGCCCCCCGTTACTCAACCAGGACTAGCTGAAGCAGTTTTATCTAACACTAGGCTGGAGGACTTCGTATGGAGCTGCTCACATGGCCTGAACAACTCCTCATCTGACAGATTTCTTTGCACATGGACGCTCCGTAGTCTGCGTGCTCTAAATCCACACCTTCCCTTTGCCTGTGCAGTAACTCCCCCATGCAGACAAGCCCTGAGGTGAAGAGTATCTCTGCATTTACCAAGTAAAATATTAATGCTAAAATGATTAAGTGATTTTCTTCCTATTGTGCAGGAAAAGCAGCGCAGTATGTTTGAAACAAAGAGACTCAGCTTTAACTGCAAATAAGAAAACTAATACAAAGTAAGTAACTTTCTGATAAGCACAGCAGAAGAGTGATGTTGATGGTGCAACAGACTGATAGCAGAACCTGGGGACAGCCAAAGTGAGTAAGGAGAATTATTTGGTATCTAATCAGCAAGACAGATGCCACCTTTGGAGTGCAATGTTTATTCCAACCTTGCAAGAAATTTAGGGTTGTGTTTTTTTTTTTTAACACTACAGTGCAAATGTTACTTACAGAATGTTATGTTTGAAATTATCTCTAATTTTTTCATGCTCTTTGCTGTCTTGCATGTATTTTCTTTGAACCTGATACCCATAGCTCTGGCATATTTGTTACATACAGAAACAAAATAAACAAATGAAGGTAAAGGAATTTTCCAAAGGAAACGGGCAGAAATGCTTTTCAGATCAGCTGCTGTTTTCAAATATAAGCAAGAAAGGACATCAAAAGAGTAAAAAATCCCTTGTAGGCAATGCTTTATCTCGTATTTCCTACAGAAGCAGCAGACTCCCCAGATACTAAAGATATCTTTTATTTTAAAGGCAAACAAATTATTTTAAATGTAACTGAACTGTAAATATTTATTAGGTCTCTTTTCCATTTGGTTCTCTGAATATGAATACTCCCAAACTAATATCTCCTCTGAAATTTTCAGTTTCAAGCCAGTGAACCTAACTAAAAATCAAATGTGACAATTGAGGAAACATTTACAATTTTTCTTTAAAACCTTCCACTCCTGCCTTCAACCACCAGCATTTTACCTAGTTTAAAACCACAGTGCTTGGGCCAGGCTGAAGGTAAAAGACACCTTAAGAATATGGAAAGCCACTAGCCTTGGCCTGTCCACCTCGCATCAGGCAAAGATGATGGTGAGCCTGCCTTGGCTTAAGGTTAAATTTCCAAGTGCAAAAGGCAGAAGACCAGAAGAAGCACGACAGAAATCTCTCAGCCACGTTAGGAATGACGTTTTGACAAACAGCCAACCAACTTCAACCAACCAATCTTAAAAAGTAACAGGATTGTTTGCATGAAAAATAACACCATCCATTTTGATTTATGTTTCTTGGGCAGCTTATCAGCCAATGCAACTTGGTGTATAAAGCGTTCCACATCTCCTCAGATAGTCACCCTGTCCCAGCTCTATGGGTGCTGCTACACTAAATAAGACTAGTCTTTCTTCACCTATCCTATCCTGCAGCTACTAATGCTCACTGAGATCACCTCTAAATTGGATTATCTTTTCCCTGATCAAGACACTACTGGCATACTATTAGAGCAAATGAACAAAACCCTGCAATGTTGTCCACACGCACACAAAGAGCAGTCTGTAGTATTTTATACTGTCACACAGTAAACACTGGGATGGACTGAAATACCTCTGTGGCTTATTACCTCTATGTCTAAGCTCTCGTTATGCAGCACCAATGAGCTGTTGAATGTCTGCAGCTGAACAAGGTACACAAGCACAGCCGTGCTAATCGATGGCCTTTACCAAAGAGATAAGAGTCCTTTCATCAGGGTTTGCACCACCAGGCTTTTTTCCACAGTTGCTGATGGCTAAAAGATATATGTGGTCTGTCACTGGTGTTCAGTGGACACGTGGTCCTTCGCTGAGCCACAGTAACTCAGCGGCATGTATGTGAACCTCAGATATTACCAGGCAATGCTTGTCAGCAGCAGCACCTGATTTGGTCCTCAGGTCTCTTACCAGATACTGAAGTCGCTGACGTTCGGTCTCTGGAGTGAATTCTGAAGACATTGGAATGACTTCACCATTTCGGATTATTATAGCCCTGTAATAGTAATAAAACATCATCAGTACAGAAAGAAAAAGTAAAAAATATCCAGAAAACCACAGAGTACAGTCACGCTCTTATTCTCTTCAGAGTCACAGTAAAATAAAACCATTTCTTTTCTGCTGAAGTTGTCAGCAGAACAGGATAATAATTCCTGCCCTGCATCCTTTAGGCTGGATAACAAAGTATATTTGTATATGCCAAGTTCATTTCAGAGCTCACAAAAACATCCAGGCAACAAAGGCAAGAGTTATTTCAGTTGATGTCTACAGGGTATCCTTATTAAGTGAAATGCAGACACCCAGAGGAGATGCTGCAGAATAACTGATTGTAGAACAACTCTTTGCAGGTTTTAATCCCAGTTGTGGCTGACACTGTCTAAACTACTGGCTTCAAATGACTCATGCAAGCACTTTCCAATTATTGATTGGTCATATGTCATGTCAGAACATTTCTACTCCAACAGCAAATGGAAATGGCAAAGCACGTTCTGTTTAACACAAATTTAACTAGTTACCTGTGGAAAGATGACAGGTAATGGAATGACTAGATCAGCCAGGAGATCTCACATACACTTCCGCAAATGGCAGAGGGGAAATTCTCTCACCTGCCTGTTGCCTCTTAACAATCTGCTATGCCGCATGCAAAATACAGTCCGATTCTTCCCCAGTGTAATGCCTGGCTGAAATACAGTCACAAGAAGGAAGAATTTACCGCTTATTCCTCCCCCATTCCGTGGTCATGTACTCACTCACAGAATTGTATTCTTTTATCCTTCCATTATTTACTCAGTTCTGTAAGTACAGTAACATCTGGCACCTTCAAGGAGCTGGGTGAACTATGTATCATCCCAAAGATTTTAATGCCTGTTTTGGAGCTGTTTCTCAATCATCAGTAGATTAATTCAGTGTTTGGATAGTAGCAGTATATCAGCTCTCCTCTTGAATTTGCACAGAATTTGTTGTAGATAAAACAAGCAACTGTCATTTGGATTTCAGTTTCTATGTGTTTTAAATGGTCTTTTTTCTGGGACCTTTTGTGGTCTTGGCCTTACTGGACTTGTCAATGACACGATCGGACTCAGGCGCCAACAGCCAAGGAGTTAACAAAGGGAGCAATTGACTTGCGCTTATCTTACCGGACAGAAGAAAAGGGGGATAGCCCACCATTTTACATCAAGAAATCTCCGGGACGGATGGAGGCTGCGCAGCCAGGGGTTGTTTAAACATTTGGACCCCTGAGCACATACCAAGATGCCCACTCTGTAGGGCTGAGTCCTGCTTGTGAGAACATGACATTCCATGCCACCCAAGTAGGGACGCCTTTTTGGTAAAAGTCGCGCCTCTGACTTTGTCAGACATATCCCTGGGAACACATTGTTAACTAAAGCGCTAAACCATTACCTGAGCTCAACTTTTGTAGACAGTGCATTTATCAACGGCAATCCCAAATCTGTGATACCTGTTGCTTGAATAAATTACCTACTGTTTCAACTTTGTGAAATTGTTTCAGTGAAAGTCCTTGGAGGGGCTCTGACAGGCAAGTTGAATCTGACAAGTGGCTACACACTTAACCCTTTAGACATAAACTGTTGACCAAGCCTGGGACTAGGAGTAGATCCAGCTGCACCTAGACTCTCCTCTGAGAGAGAGTTTAGAACTCAAGGGGTCTGCTCTGAACCTCGTGACTCAGCGGGAGGGCTCTCCCTTTGCCGCTTATCAGACTCCCTTATCCCTTTTAATGCGACACTTTTTCATCCTGTAGATGTGATATTTAGGTGCTAGCTTACTTCTCTTGATAATTTGATCAATTTGCTGGCATTGCTTCCATGCCAGCTATTCTGATAGCACTGCAATACAACCAACAAATACGATAGGCACACAGAGAATGAAAACTTAACCTCTGAATTTAAAACACAAGCATCTTGAGAAAACCAGCGTGGGTACAAACCAGCTTTGTATAATTAATGGCACTCGATAACTCTTCAAGCCTTCTGGATATGATATTGGAATAAAATGGTCTCCGAATGATCATCTACTACTGGTAGTACGCAAAAGGAAGGAGCATTATCAAAGAGGAAAGGAAGTGTTCACATTTCTGAGATTCACGTGGCGAAGAACAGACAGGTACAGTATGGCGCTACAATGGGAGAGGTGGGAAAAGGCTCTAGTGATGAGGGGAAAACAGCTCTGCTTTGAACGATAACAAACTTACTGCTCCTGGACTGCCAGCACTCCCTTGGAAACAATCCTGTGTAGAAATCAGAGGGGGCAAGAGTGCAACCTACATACTGAAGGCTCCCACTGGCCCTCCACTGCTACAATTAAAAACAATATTGTGGGCTTGAAATGAGATAGACATGCTGGTTGTAACTCATTAATTTCTTAAGAGAAAATTCTGCAGAACAGCTGATGGAATTTTTTCCCCTTTATGGGATGCAAATACATTACAGGCTTACAGAAATGCCTGTCCAATTAAAAATAATACAGGTTTGCTGAAAATTTTTCTTTTGAATTTCCGAGGCAGTAATTTAAAATGAATTAAGAACTCTACCACCTCTTCTCTGCAATAACACCTTTGCTTTTATTTTTGCAGTTCCTAAGGTATTTGGCTTTGAACCAGACTCATTTACTCAAAGACAGTGGGCAGTTTTTATAACCTTTGCGTATGTAATTTGACTCACGTAAGTAGGCCTCCATTTAAGGGGACTGTGGGTTTAGTACACAGTAAGTACTCTGGCAACAGTCTGGACCAGGCTGATCAAAGGAGCTGATCAGACACTAACCAAATTTTACACACTAGTTTAAGAGAGTCATAAGGGATCTACTGATCTTGTGCTTGTCTGAAAGAGCTAACATAAAAACACACATTGATATAACTGCTAGTGCGTCAGGCTAATTTTCTAATTATCCTTTTCTTCCCCTTTAATCATAATTTCACAGGAAATCCATATTTTAAAGACCACTCAGACCAGTCTAGGGTTCACCTTTTTCTTTGTGCACATTGACATACTTCCTATAGACGGTGATAGCTATCATTCTCACTTCTATGGGTAGAATTGGGCCCTGAGGGACTCACATCATATAAAAAGCAATTCAGAGGCAAGTGGGTCAACCTTTCATGGCTCAGCTTATTTTCACTAGAAATTGCAGCCACCTGGGATGAAAAGCACAACCCAGCACAAAAGAAAAAAAAACTTTGGGAGGAGGAATTAAAGCAATGCTGTTGATACCTGACAAAACACAGCCTCAGCTTTATGTTTTTCATTAACGTTTTCAGCGGTTGGGCTTTATTCAACTTGAAAGTTACAGCTGCTCGTAAGAGTCAAATGATTTGATCCGAGGAATTAGACAGCTCTAGATATGAGTAATGGGAAGGACTCAGCCATACATACACAGGTCACTGGTCTGAATTCAGCTCTGGTGGGCTTATTATGCTCTTACCAGGCTCTTTACCTTTCCACACCAGCCGCTTAGCTGTTTCATGACAGCAAAGGGTATTTCTGATGGCCCAAGTGACAAAAATCAACACATTCATTGGCCGTCTCACTGGAGTGGCTGGGTGCAAAAAAGCCTGTCCCGGAAGCCACCTCGCTCAGTGGGATTTTTCCCTGTGATTGAAGAGGTGTCGAATCAGGCCCTAATTGGGTTTGGAGACTGAACTGCCCTTTCCATGACCTCGCAGTGACAGAGCTGCCAAGCACCGACTGAAGGCTTTTCCCACCAAGCAACCTCCAGAGCCCTGAATTCAATAGCCCAAAGTCAATAACTGCTCATGGGGAGGGAGCCTGGCTGACACAGCAGCCATAAACAGCACAGCGACTGCTTTTAGAGACCCACTCTATACAGTCCTGCAGGACAATTAATTTTGCCTTTACGCTTCCTAATGGACTAAGCAGCAACACGGCATTACATGAACATTACTGCTTCTGCCATGCACGAAAGATGCATGTACGCAATGAAATAGTGCTCTGCAAGCATTTAGCTCCCCATGCGCTGTGGAAATATGAATGTATTATTTTATACCAGAATACAGCTGTCCTATTAAACTGTCAGAAATAGCTACATAGGAAGCAAGAAGAACTCGAAGAGATGCAGTGCCCAGACAGCATCTGATTCTGCCATGTTTAATAGTGACATTTTAATTTCAGCCACACTGGTGAAACACATTATAGCAGAGCCACAGGGCAATCCTGCCAAAGGCAGACGGATGATTCATGTTTGCAGGGAACAACTATGTCAACACTAACCAAATATTCTCTGATGACAAGGTTGCTTCAGACCCATCCCAATCATTAATTTATATCACCAATGAAGTAGCAACTAAAAACCAAAAGTTTTCTTGGCAGGATAGGAAATTGGGAGTCACAGATCTGCAACCCCCTTGGTGCACTGCCCTCCATGCTTTATGTCTTTGATGCCCCTTCCACGCAGCATCATCCACAGTGAGCACAACAAACAGGAGACACTGCTCTTAAGTCTTAAGGCCAGAGAGGCCATTAAGTCACTTATTTTGATCCCTTCCAAAAACAAATTATAGATTTCCCCGAGTCTTCTCCCCTCTTTTCAACCCAGCTACTTAAATCCCCACCCACACAAACTACAGGATCATACTTGCCCTTGCATTTCACAGATATGTGCTCTGCACGACAAAGGAGGTACATTCCCTAATCCAGAGCTGGTAAATATTCACAGAAAACAGGAATATATTGGGGGAGAAAAGTCCCCAAACTACAGCTGAAGTAGCCTAAAATAGAAGAAACAAGAATCTGTTTTTGTATCTCTCTTCTGTCCACTTCACTGAGTTTTTCTGATCCACAGAAGTCGTGCCCTGAACAACTAAACGTGGAGCAAGAGATGTGCCAGCGCCTCAGTGCAGAAGGCGGCCCTGGCAGTCACAGCAAATCCTGCAGCGGGCTACATCCGCTCAGTCACACGCAAAGGAAAAGAAACACCGGGAGCTTAAAAGGCTGCGTGTAAATCTACAGAAACCACTAC